GGGGTGAAGTTGGCACTGAGATCCCGAGTTCGAGTACTCTGATTTTCTCCGATCGAGTATTCGAGTATTCGAGTATTCTTGATATCCTAAAAATCGCACACCAACCGCCTCAAAAATCACATGATACAACCCTGATTGAACCGATAGGTAGTTCTTTTCTCGGGTGTATTGGTTGGTGGGTCATTTGGGCTCTCTCTACTCGTGTACAAATGTTCACCACACAGTCTGCACATCAATATCTGCTGACTGCTGCTCTGAAACTGCAGATTTCTGTGGTAAATGTATGTACCATGTATGAGCGAGTACTCGTCTTTGTGGTACACTCTCACAACACCAACACACAGAAGTCTCTGCTGAGAGCACGGTGGCTCGGCAATGGCCTTTATTTAGAATTTTTTTCTTTCTTTTTTTTCTTTTTTTTTTCTTTCTTTTTTTTCTTTTTTTTTTCTTTCCTATAATTATTTGTACATTTACAAAAATATATCAACGATCGATACAGCAGTCAATCAAAAGTGCTGATAATTACACAGCACACAACACGCCAACAACGGCATAACAATAGGGAAATGTAAAAGCGCACACCTCAGAAACGCAAGAGAACACCCTTGCACATCATCTTCACACCGGCACACCACACAGGTCATCATCCAGCTTCAGTTAACACAATGCCTTGATGACCCCTGAAAATCCCAACCCTTCAATTCAATCTTGCAATTCAATCTTGCATTCTGCCCCATGCCAATTCATCCCCTGTCAATAACCCTCTGAAGCTGAATGTAACCATACAACAGCCCACGACGCGCACACCACTCCTAATGTTTTTCTAAAAGACCAACAAAGAAAAACACCGCAGTCGTAACTGCCCTAGGCAAAACCACACACATCAACACAATGTCTATAAACACCCTTCAGTCCGGGGTGGGAGGGCGGGAACAAACTAAACGGAAGAAAGGCCACTGCGAAGTGACGGAAATGCGGTCAAGGACCGCATCTTGTCGGTACCACATTCTGTGGAATGAAATCCAAAATCGGAGCGATTTTGCAGCGTCTTAGTGCAAATTGTGAAAAGAATTCGGGTGGACACACCCATTAACTGCAGGAAGCCTCAGCCCTTCTTCAAACTTAGCGCAAATTGTTTCGAGTTATCCACAAAGACACAAGCTTTCCAACTCTCTTCGGCCGTTGGAAAGCGTACCTGATTTATTCCGAGTACGATTATATTTGAAAAATCCAAACGAGGATTCGAATATTCGGTATAATTGTTTCACCCCTATTACAGTAAAATGATGTTTTGTTTTCCTGTGTGATGGCATTCCCCAAACTGTCTCGTCTAGTCACGTGCATGTGTGATATGAGCATGGGCGATTTTGTAGTCGAGAGTCCTTTTGTCAGTCTTTCTTGTTCGTCTCGTGCAGAGCAGTTTGCTTTTCCGTCTTGTCAATATAAATAATGTAACAAATAAGTCTTGTCCTTTGTGTCCTGCGTTCCGGGAACGGAATGGCTGTGATTCCGTAACAACGTGGTGCCGAAACCCGGGACGCAGAGGATGAGTTAGTTTGTCTTGAGTCTGCTCGTCATCGTCGTCGTCAACAACAAAGTAACTTTGAAGTCAAAAGTAAGCGTGGGAGCGGAGGAGATGAGGAGCTGGTGGGAGCGCAAGATGATGGAGAGGAGGCGGAGGAGGTGATGGACTGAAACTGAAACTGTGGACTGGAGCCTGGGACGGCAGGTACCGCGATGGAGCGTGTGGCAGTGGCTCGCCAGAGGCCAGTGGACGAGTCGTCCTTTGTTGTTCGTCTTGTTGTCTTGCTCGCTGCACCGTTCTCTCTCTCTGCTCAGTTCGCTGCTTGTTCAGTTGTTGCTGTGTTGTTGAGTGTGGTTGTCGTCGTTCTGTTGCTCTTCTCGTCGTTCTGTTGCTCTTCTCGTCGTTCTGTTGCTCTTCTCGTCGTTCTGTTGCTCTTCTCGTCGTTCTGTTGCTCTTCTCGTCGTTCTGTTGCTCTTCTCGTCGTTCTGTTGCTCTTCTCGTCGTTCTGTTGCTCTTCTCGTCGTTCTGTTGTTCTGCATTGTTTTGGGTTTTTAATTTATTTTACGCTGCTGCGCGCATCGTATTATTTGAGAGCTTCGGCTTTTGTGTTTCGGTTGGCCTTGTGTGCCTGAGCGTCGGCTCTTGTGGTTTTTGTTTGGCCCTGTGGTGTGGCCTGGTTCTAGAGCGACTTCGTCGGCTCTGGTGGTTTTTGTTTGGGCCTGTGTCGTGGCCTGGTTTGTAGAGCATCGGCTCTAGGTTTTTGTTTGGCCCTGTGTCGTGGCCTGTGATTAGAGCATCGGCTTTAGGTTTTCGGATGGCCCTGTGTCGTCGCCCGGATTTTATTTTAAAGTGTCGGCTCTAGGTTTTTGTTTGGCCCTGTGTCGTGGCCCGTTTTTCTTTAGAGCGTCGGCTCTGGTTTCTGTTGGCTTGGTGTTAGCTTGTTGTGCTACAATGTAAGCTTGTTTTGGTTTTTCTCTGTTGCTGTGGTTTATTTTGCTGTTGTGCATGTGGAACGCCGTGTCGGTTTATTATTTTGTGGAATGTCATCAAGGGGGCAGGTGTTGTAAAATGATGTGTTGTTTTCCTGTGTGATGGCATTCCCCTAACTGTCTCGTCTAGTCGCGTGCATGTGTGATATGAGCAAGCGCGATTTTGAAGTCGAGAGTCCTTTTGTCAGTCTTCT